AAAATTAACTTAAATGATTTTAGCAAATGGCTGCAATATAACAAAGAGTGAAAAATTTAAGGGGGTCTGAATACTTTCCGTACCCACTGTATAAGTAAGTAAGTAAGTAAGTAAATAAATAAATATATATACACAATTTAGATGTCATGAAATAAAATTTCTCATATCGTGGTCATTTTTATGGTTTCTTATGGTTTATGTAAAAAGGTGAGCTGATGAAAACTAGTTTATTGACTTTATACACTTTAGACAGATAAAACATCTGTGTTCACAACATTATTGGGTGCTTTAATAATATAATGACGTATACATTTCATCATTGTGTGATTATGTAAACAAACTTGTGAACGGAATCAGTTCATTGAAACGAACGGTCCAAAAGAACCAGTTTGCAGAGAAGAATCAGATTTCCCTGTTTGCCTGAGGCTCTGGATTACAGGTAATAATGTTGTAAATAATGTTCAGTTTCTCGCACAGACTGATTGTTTCGCTTCATAAGACCTCAATATATCACCAGGAGCCATGGGTATTCATTTTGTGTTCCTTGATATGCTTTTTTTTTGACTCTGTGATGGCAGCCATTGACTTGCATTATATGAATCACCAAGGACAACAGTTTCAGCTAAAAATCTAAAAAAATAAATTAAAAAAGTCAGCTAAATCTTGGATGGCCTGAGGATGTTAATTAACAGCAATTTTTTATTATTTTTTTAATTTTCATTTTTCGGTGAACTGTTACTTTAATCTTTCTTTCTTTAGGTCTTTTTTCTCTCTCTGTCTTTTGCTATCACTTTATTTATGTCCCTTAGCATGTGTTGTTCTTAGTGAAGCTTACCCTGTTTTTAGGTACTCGGATCAGACCGCTGTCCGGCTCAGTGCTATAAGGCCGAAGGGCTGCTTCTATCCCAAACATACCTGACAACTGACCTGGATTAGAGATCCAGAGAGACGCAGGGACAGAGAGATCAAGATTTACAGTGGCAAAAGTGATAGGAATGGGGAGAGAAAGACCTGACAAAAGCCGGTGGAGAAGTCTGAGACCACTTTGAAAATATTTAGCTGATTTAAACCTGAAAAATGACCATCAGATATATCACTGTACAGTAGCGCGTTGTTTGTAAGGGGAAAGACATATGTCAGAAAACATTGAGGAGTGCTGGGATGAGAAGGATGCGTGAGAGTGAAAGAACAGCTGCTGAGAGTCGTGTTGGGTGGCTCTCTGTGCTGATGAAGACAGCCTGTGAGCTGAAAATGGACATGCTTCTTTCTTGGAGATGATTGAAATGTTCGATCTGTATCTGCGTGGACATCTGCTGTCAAAAGAAAAAAAGTTACAGCTCAGAACGATGCAACCATGCCTGAAGATAGAACTTCCCTTTTTTATTTAAAAATAAATCTATGAATATTAAAGTATTTGGACTTTATATTATTATTATTATTAATAATATTAATATTAATTTAACAAAAAGCTTAGACTGAGATTTTAAGACCCATAAGACACAAAACTGGATTAAATAACATTAACTATCTGTATTTTATCTTAATGACTCACACTGTTTCCCCACAAATGCAATATTTATCAGTAAAGACTGATAAAATTGTCATGGGGCAAAATTATATTATTTTATTTAATCTTCATACATTAAAAAGTTGGGGGTCAATAAGATTTTTCAACATTTTTTATCATTTTTTTATTATTTGTAAAAATTTATTTGAGCAAAAATACAGTAAAAAGAGTAATATTGCGAAATAATATTACAATTTAAAATAACTGTTTTCTATTTAAATATATTTTAACGTAATTTATCCCTGCGATGCAAAGCTGAATTTTCAGCATCATTACTCCAGTCTTCAGTGTCACATGATCCTTCAGAAATCATTCTAATATGCTGATTAGCTGCTCAAGATAGACTGAGATTTTAAGACCCATAAGACACAAAACTGGATTAAATAACATTAACTATCTGTATTTTATCTTAATGACTCACACTGTTTCCCCACAAATGCAATATTTATCAGTAAAGACTGATAAAATTGTCATGGGGCAAAATTATATTATTTTATTTAATCTTCATACATTAAAAAGTTGGGGGTCAATAAGATTTTTCAACATTTTTTATCATTTTTTTATTATTTGTAAAAATTTATTTGAGCAAAAATACAGTAAAAAGAGTGATATTGCGAAATAATATTACAATTTAAAATAACTGTTTTCTATTTAAATATATTTTAACGTAATTTATCCCTGTGATGTAAAGCTGGATTTTCAGCATCATTACTCCAGTCTTCAGTGTCACATGATCCTTCAGAAATCATTCTAATATGCTGATTAGCTGCTCAAGAAACATTTATTATTATTATTATTATTATAGTTAGAAACCATGAAACAGTTTTTTTTTCTTTGATAATTAGAAGGTTCAAAAGAACAGCATTTATTTTGAATGGAAATATTTTGTAATTTAATGCATCCTTGTTTAATAAAAGTATTAATTTCTGTAAAAAAACAAAAATGTGCTGACCCCAAACGGTAGTGTTTATATATATATATATTAAAAACAACAACAAAAAACTTAATAATGCTAAATACTCTTTTTATAGCCATTAATAAAAATATTTATGGCCTGATGTGGCCAAAATAATAAAATAAAAAAAACTGACAAATAAAGCTTGATTTTATTTAATATCTGGCAATAAGAGATCAGTTTTGCTTTTTGTTTCTACAATTGAGTGTGTATATCAGCACTCACATGTTTTCACCTTCTGTCCTCTCTCAGCTGTAAGCGGCGTCTGACCATGTGTTTTATGGTCTGTGTCCTCACAGGTCACGGTCCATCAGCGGCGCGTCCTCTGGTCTCTCCACCAGCCCTCTCAGCAGCCCACGGGTGAGTAAACTTCGCCCCCAGCACGCCCGCTTCTCTCTGTCCACCAATCAGCACGCATCTGCTCAAGCACCTTCATGCCAATCATATCACATGCCATTTTTGTGTTTGTAGGACATAGTACGTACTACACAACTGTGATTAATAAGATACATGATATTAGTATGCAAAGAGCTCATAATGCAAAGTGCGTAGGACGTTTGTAGCAGTGTTATTTTAGTATCACTGATATACTATTATAGTTATATAGTTTTTGTTAATATTTTGAATTTGATTTTATTTTTATGTTTTCATTTTAATTTGAAAGTTTTTGTGATTTTTTTTTTTGTTAGTTATTGTCTATGTAGTTTTTTATTATTAAGTTTTAGTTTATTTAGTTTTACTAATTTTAGTACTTCAACTTTAAACAAAAATGAAAAATGTTGTTTTGGCAACTAGCTGAAACAAAGTTGTTTTATTATTATTGAGATACTATTATATATGTTTTTAAAATGTTATGTTTTTAAAAAAGTTTTTATTTTTATACTTTTTGTTTTCATTTTAAATTTGAAGTTCTTATAATTTTGTGTTTTTGTCATTTTTATTATTAAAATATGTCTATAGTTTTAATTATTTATTACTTCAGTTTTAGTTTGTTATTTTAGTAAATCAAGTTTAACCCTCTACCGCATGGTGTAGCCATATGGCAACATACTCTTTGTGTTCATTTCCT